CCCAGCTACTCGGGAGGCTGAGGCAGAAGGATCGCTTGAGCCCAGGAGTTTGAGGTTGCTGTGAGCTAGGCTGACGCCACGGCACTCTAGCCCGGACAGCAGAGTAAGACGGTGTCTCAAAAAAAAAAAAAAAATACCCGGAAAACCAGCCAGGTGCGGTGGCTCACGCCTATGTAATCCTAGCACTCTGGAGGCGCACGAGAACAGCGTAAGCAAGACTCTGATCTCCACTAGAAAAAAAAAAAAAATCGTCGGTGCGAGGGCGCATGCCCGTCTCAGCTAATCTCGAGACTGATTTGACCGCTTGAGCTCAGTTGAAGTTGCCGTCAGCTATGAGGTGGCACCACTGCACTTTACCCAGAGCTGTTGAGAGTGACTCTGTCAACCAAAAAACCAAAAAACAACAAAAGTCACAACTTTACTTTTTCCTACGCTCAAACCCCTTAAGCTAAATGCGATACACACCTTTTTTTCAGGTTGTCTTCAACAAAACTTACAACAAACCCCGTTCTAAAATCTACAAAAGCTAACTAACAGAAACAAACCTTTGCAAAACTAAAAATTCTTCTACTGTCTGAAACTATAACAAAAGTAACACTTACCGAAAATGGAAAAAATTACCTTCAACACATTCAGAACCAAAGAAAATGCAGAAACATAGTAATAATTTGACTCTGATTTTAGAACCACTGAAATTTCCCCAAAAGGGGATGCACCGTTCCTGGAAGTACTGCAATACCAGGTCGATGCGTGGAGTGGACGGAGCAAGCTCCTATTCCATCTCCTATTTCCAAAAATCCATTTAATATATTGTCCTCGGATAGAGGACGTATCAGATATTAAACTGATAAGAACAGATACTACACTTGATCTTAGCCAAAAGGCCGAGAAGCGATATCTTACATTGCCCTTCCCAGGAAGCCTTAGTCTCCATGTCCCTTTTACATTTGTGGTGGTTTTCATGGCATTAAATATTAAATTACTTCCCAATACATACCATTTCTTAAAACTAATTTTTCATTATTCTTACTTCATAACAGGAGCTTGACTTTTGGAAACAGAGTTTAAGTTGAGGTCTTTATTGCTTCGCCCGCCCGCTCACTGAATAGCATGTTTTGCATAAACCCGCCCCTCCGCTTTTTTGCATTCTTGGGATTGGTCCACATACCGGTCGTGATCTCAAAGCCGGCGTAGTCTCTCTCCCAGATTGTGGTGTTAGTTTCCCTCCCACCTAAAGGTTTTCAGGCGCTCTCTGGGTCGGCGGGGCGGCCGGTGGCGGCGCCCCTCTCCGGGACATTTACTGGGGGAGGCCGCGACGCCGATTCAGAACACAGGTTCTGGGGCCCAAAGAACTGGGTTGGGATCCTGCCTGCCAGCTCTTGACGTAATGACGTGAGGCGCTGCCCAAGCTCTGTCTCCCCTGCGAGACGGCGGAATAGTGAACCGCACCCTTGGGGGCGCTGTGGGAACTGAGGACACCGCGCCAGGCGCTCGGCCCTGGACCAGGCCTCACCGCGCAGTCGGCCTTTATGAGTGTCCCCGCGGCCGCTGCCCGCCGGTTTCCTTCCGCACCCTCTGCGCCGCCTACCGCACCCCGACTTTAACTTGCACCCCCACCCCACCCGCTTCTTGCCGTTGGCGCCGTCCATCGCCAACTGTCTGGCACTCCGCGGACAGGGAAGGATGCCGTGAGAAAGCCATTCCTGAGGTTCTTGATTCTTGAAGCCGGGTCCTGCCGTGGGAGAGAGGAGGCGAGGCCTCCCACCCGCGCGCTCCTTAAACGGTGTTCTTTCCAGGCTGACCGAGAAACCGCGGGGCCTCTCCCCCAAGGCAGAGGCAGGATTGTTAGAAGATTGGGACGAGGGGAGTGTAGGCAAAATTTAAACGAAGCACATTATTTTTATCACTCAAAGCAAAGCCCGGCTATAAGAAAGGGATTACTGTCAGGCCCTGGCTGAGAAGGGACTTGGCGTCCTGTTTCCTTAGAAACTGTATTAATATAAATGTGGAACGTTCTGTTGGAAAGCCCCTTATTGAGTTGGAAATAGAGGTAGTGTCTGTGTCAAAGCGATTCGCATGGCTGAGATCCTCCAGGCAAGAGTGGGACGTTGTCACATTCTCACTGATCAGATTTCAACCAGCAAAGTTTCTGTAATCTATGACTTTATGTCCTTCGTGTTAATAAACAAAAGAAGTTTCTACAGGAAACCCATGCCTCCGGGGAGGGGCCAAATCAAGGGGGTATAGAAACAGGTAGAATCATGCTCCCCGCAAAGATGCCCCTGTCCTAATTCCCAGAACCCCTGAGTATGTCACCTTACCTGGCAAAAGGCACTTTGCAGATATGATTGTCATTTGCAAAGGATGTTGAGATGCTGAGATTATCTGGCTTATCTGGCTGGGCTCAGTGTAATCACAAGGTTCTTCATAAGGGACGGGAGGGAGGCAGGAGAGTCCTGGTCAGAGTGATGCAGCTGAGAAAGATTTGAGCAACTGTGGCTGGCTTTGAAGACCAGAGGGCGTTATCAGGCAGGGAACATGGGCAAAGGTGGAAGAGGCAAGGAAAAGGATTTTCCTTTGGAGCCTCCAGAAGGGAATGCAGCCCTGTCCCTACACCTTGATTTTAGCTTATTGAGACCCATTTTGGATCTCTGACCTCCAGAACTGAAAGATGATTAATTTGTTTTGTTTTTAGCCACTGAGTTTATAATAATTTGTTACAATATCCATAAGAAACTAATACAGGGGCAAAAGCAAAATTCAATTTCTTTTGATCCCAACCTTTCCCAAATTCTGCAAGATCGAACCTGGGGTAACCAGCCACAGCCCCCTAGTTGAGCAGGTTCAGCCCAGGCTACAGCACAGTACACAGGAGGTGTACAGAGGTGCCTCCCAGCCCTGGAGCACACAGATCTCTTGGTGGAGGCTCTCC